CCCAGACCTTCAGACCCCGCCGTGTGTGCACTGCCCGTGGCCAAACGCGTTTCAGCTGCTCACGGGAGATGTGTCACAAAGGAACAATAAAGAACGATTTTGCTCATGGCTTCTGCTGTCACGGAATTGATCCCCTTTGGCTCAGTGGAGTTTTCAGGCCAGCTCTCTTCTTAAGCTTATTTTTATTAACATTTTATCCTCTGCACTGGCATGATGCTCACACTATCCTGTCCAGGATGCAGCGAGGACAGAGCAGGGCTTCTCCAGGGAACGACCGTTACCTGCAGTAGGTTCTTTCCTGAGGGATTTGTTCTGTGGTAGCTTATGTTGGAAGTCAGATCACCTCTTCAGTGGAGGATCCTCAGGTTTTGAATCAAAATAAAAAGTTGGTGCTTGCAAAACGCTGGGATGCTGGGAAAAGCACTTCAGGAGGACAGTGTTGGCTGGATTTGTACTTGCAGACCCTCCCAAGTGTAGGACAGGAGAAGCACTGGTGGAACCCTTTGGTTCTGGTCAGCACCACACAAACAGAGTGGCTCACTCCAATCGTGCAAAATGTTTCTTTGGCCTTTTTGGGTGGGAAAACATCCACTGGGGAGGCTTCAGTGTTCTCTTTGTTTTACTCACGGTGCAGGAGGCTTTGGGGTGGACTTCTCCCTGGCTACAGATGACTTCAAATCAGGGATTGACCTGGTCAGTCAGAAAATCCTCTCCCATGGAGTGACTTCCTTCTGTCCCACCCTGGTGACCTCTCCTCCATCTGTGTACCACCAAGTAAGTGACTTTCTCCCCTTCTCATCCACAGGGTGAGAAGGGACTGAGCTTGGTACCAAGAGGGCCAAGGCTGAGTCCACAGAGACCAGGCTGGCTGCATTGGCAGAAGAGCCATGGACATGAGGACCTAGACTCTACCCCTGGATTTCTTGCCTTTACCCTTTAAGACTGCTGAGACAGTGATGTCTCCCAGGCCAGCTTTGCACAGTGGGGCTTGCAGCTGGCTTTTCTTTGGCGAGCTGTCTTTGGCTGATGGTCCCAAGTGGTCCAGCTACAAAGCTTTCGCCCAAGGTTTGGGTTTGTTTTGGCAAGCCGGGGTGCTGCGTCTGGGATGCCGTGTCTGACAAACCCTTTTCTCTAGGTTCTCCCTCAGATCAGTATCCAAGATGGTGGAGCCCACGGAGCAGGTATCCTGGGTGAGTGGTTTTGTCACTCGCTCTCCCCTCTGGTGCTACTCTAGGTAGACAATTATCTTGTTCATTGAGGAGAAAGAATCTACCACAGGGACAGCACAAATGGGGCTGGAGCCCTCTTGGTGGGAGGGATGCACAGGTGGGCCCAGACCTGCTTTCTCCCTCTACCTATGCCTGGTCTCTGCCATCATACCTGCACTGCACCAGCCCTTTTGGGCCTCCCCAGGTGATGCCGGTGTTGTGGCTTGCCTTGGCCAGTTGCCAGCATTGCATCTTCTGCTCTGCTGAGCTCAGAGTTACCTGAGCCATGTGTTTCGCTGCAGGAGAACGGGGAGAGCTTGACAGGAGCAAGGTAGATGCAGCAGGTTTATTGGTCCTTGGCAGGAAGGGTCATAGAATCGTTAAGGTTGGAAAAGACCTCTAAGATCATCAAGTCCAACCGCCAACCAAACACCACCATGACCACTAAACTATGTCCTGAAGTACCACATCTATACATTTTTTTAACACCTCCAGAGATGGGGACTCCACCACTGCCCTGGGCAGCCTGTTCCAGTGCTTCACCACTCTTTCGGTAAAGAAATTTTTCCTAATATCCATGGGTTTGTGTTCCTGTTTGGGCAGGGGCCCATCTGGAAGGACCGTTCATCAGCAAGGAGAAGAAAGGGGCGCACCCGGAGCACTGCCTCCGTACCTTTGAGGAAGGTGCCTTCCAGGACCTTCTTGCCACCTACGGCTCCCTGGACTGTGTCCGGATTGTCACCCTGGCCCCGGAGATGAAGAGGAGCAGTGAGGTGATCCGGGAGCTCACCAAGCGGGGCATCTGTGTGTCGCTCGGTAAGGGCTGGGGTGGAGGAGGTTTGGGGAGGCTCCATCTCCTGGCACCACACGGGGCTGTAGCATCTCTAATGGTGACTCGGTGTGAATGGACAGGGTGGGATTTTCTTTTGGTGGGCCTGTCTGGAGGTGACAGACCTGTCACAAGTGGGGACTTCACTTGGTGCTGCGGATCTGTCGCCCGTTGTCCGGTTAAGGGCCAAACTTCATATTGGTTGAGCAGCCCATGCTTTTTTATCACAAGGTAGCGTTAGGTGCTGTTCAAACACATAAAGAAAGAGTAGTCTGAGTAAAGATCTAATTGAGGATTGGTGATGTGGAAAGGTTCAAATTCTGAAGTTCAACTGCTTTAGGCCTTATTTGACAGGTGAAATCATTTTCCAAAGGTTACTGTTGCGTTTTGATAACTCCGTTGTAGGAGATCTCTCCCTCCAATGTCGTGCTGCCCATTGACTTAAAACCTTAAATGAGAAGGGCATTCATATCACAGAGCATCTCTTATCTCACAGCCACATAAAGCAAAGAACTACGGAAGGGCAAGGTTTGCCTGTAGAGCAATAGAACTGCTGTCTGTGTTGGGGAAAACAGTTTTCTTTCTGAGTAGTTTTTTCCCCATATTCTTTCTTGGCAAAGTCCCCACCATCTCTGCTGGCTTGACAGCTCTCTATAAAGCCTTTAAACACACGAGGACAGCAGAAAGGCACATCCTTGGACCTCCAACCCAGCCTGAAGGCCACTCTTTGTGAGCAAGGCAGCATTTCTGGTGGTTGTGATGTGAACAGGGAACGTGTTCGGGTGTGATACCACTGCCAGAACCCCCCATGGTCACGGCCAGACACCTCTGTGCCAAGGCTGGTGTTCCAGACCTCAGCCTGTGGTGGAGCACCCCAGTAGAGTCCCAGTTAGGGGGCATCTTGACTCCTGGAGGGAAGTAAATCAAGAAACAGTCAGAAAAAAAATCATGTGTTGTTCTTTCTGCCCAGGTCACTCGGTGGCTAATCTCTCCCAGGCCGAGGAGGCCGTGCAGCACGGCGCTACCTTCATCACTCACCTCTTCAATGCCATGTTGCCGGTGAGTAGCCGAGGGCACTTGCCCTGGACCGATATCGTTTTCGGTGCTTTCTCTTCTGCTACCCAGCTTATTTCATAACAGGCCTTGCACTGAGGTTTCAGCACTGAACCTCTGGTTTCACGTTTCTGCTGCCTGATCTAAGAGAGAGTCAAGGCTGTAGCAGACTCAAAATTTGAGGAAACGCCCAGATTTGCCTGGTGAAGGACAGAGCGCCCAGCTGACCGGCATGCTTTGGTGGGACCTGCCGGCAAGGTTCTGGTGATGCTCCACAGCTTGTCCTCTCTCCCCTCGGGCAGTTCCACCATCGCGACCCCGGCATTGTGGGGCTGCTGACAAGCGACAAGATTCCCGCTGGGCGGAGGGTCTTCTACGGCATGATCTCCGACGGCATCCACACCAACCCTGCCGCCCTGCGCATCGCCCACCGAGCCCACCCCAAAGGTGAGCCGGGCCGGGCCCACGTGGCATCATCAGCCAACTCGCGTGCTGTGCCTTGTCCCCTGAAGCAAGTGCTGTGCCGTGCTGCCCGAAAGAGTTCATGGCCGAGTATGCTGATCCACCAGCCCTCCTGGCTTTGGTGGGATGTGGCTAGAGACCCCTTGGAAGGGCTTCTTAGGGAGGGCTAGTGTGGATGTGGGGCTCGGAGCCAACGCAGCCTCGCTCTTCACGTTCCTCAGGCCTAGTGCTGGTGACAGATGCGATCGCTGGCATGGGACTGGCTCCAGGTCGGCACACGCTGGGTCAGCAGGTGGTGGAGATCGATGGGCTGAACACCTACATTGCAGGTAAATGCCTCTTGCTAAATTGCTAGGGACGGCGCTGCCACTTGTGCCTGTTCCTGGAGAGCTGAGCACACCTTGCAGCGCCTGCGGCAGTGTGGGGCAGCACTTGTGCCACCCTCCTGGGTTTTGGTGCCTGGTGGCTCTGGTGATTTGGTCTCAGGGAGAAGGAGGCACCTCGCAAAGAGGGAAGTGCCCCATCTTCAGGGAGTGAGGCGAGATCTGTCAGTTTGCAGCTGTCTGCAACAGCCTCGAATGCATCGTTGCCCAGTGTCACAGATGCCAGAGGTTCCAGCAGGGTCAGCAAGGACAGAAGTCCTGCAGATACTTATTGTCCCTTGTCTTTAACACCACCACTTCTTGCTAAGTTCCCTAAGCTGCAAGAAGTTGGAGGCTGGGAAGGCGTTTCAGAGAAGGATCGTCCCTTCCTCTGTCTCCGGCAGCCTGTGCCTGCGCTGTGAGCTGGTTTCACCCGGCCCAGCTGGCCTTATGGTGGAGCTGCAGTGTCACATCCCGGCACCTCTCCCTGCACTGCCAGCACGGGCTCTCTCTCGCCTCGTTCTGTCATCTCAAGTAGCTCCTCTTACAACTCAGGACTTCTGCCCCTCCTCCTTCTCCTTGCTGTGAGGTGTGGGACCCACTCAGTGCCATCCTATTCCTCTCCCAGGCACGAAGACCCTGAGCGGTAGCGTGGCAACCATGGACACGTGTGTGCGACACTTCCAAGAAGCCACAGGTAAGCAAGCCTTGTCCACGAACTGTTGGTCCCCATGTTGACACGGGAAAGGTCTTGCTCTTGCCAGTTATGTCTGCTCCATCAGAGAATGTTCCCTCTCACCTGAGACACGATGAGAAGGGCTGGGATCAGCAGGACTGGCCTCAGATGGGCACCTTTTTGAGAGGAGGTTTCATTTTAACACATAGTGCTAACGAGAGGTGAATTCTCCTGTTCCTTTCTCACAGAGGTGAATGGTTTTCCCCTCCCCATACTGTAGGTGTTCAGTTCTTTTCCTGCCATCTCCCCTGGGGATGTTTCCTCTTCCCAGCTCTGTCCAGCTGTGGCGAGGGTGTTCCAGCTCGGGTCCCTGCCAGGCCAACAGTTGCCTTATCCTGAGGGGTTTGGGCTTCTCTGTTTGCTGTCCTAATGTCTCTCCCCTTCTCTGTCCTAGGGTGCTCGGTAGAGACTGCGTTGGAGGCAGCGTCTCTGCATCCCGCCCAGCTCCTGGGCATTGAACACAAAAAGGGGACACTAAATTATGACTCTGATGCAGGTACTGGTATGGGGACAGCAGGTGCTCGTACGAGGCCAAGGGTGTGAGGGCTCTCGGGTGCTGGAGCAAAGCCAGGGCTGCAGTGAACGTATCTTCATCCTCTGCTTCAGTGGGAGCTGCAGGGAGACTCGCTCTGCCTGGATTTGCTCAGAGCTTTTGCTCCAGTGGGTTTCCCTCTGGATGCTGGTGGAGTCTGTGAGGCCTTTGAGAGATCCCCCCATCTCAGCCAAGCATGGAGCAGAGCTGCCGTCCTGCTGCCATCTCTGGGGTGGGGAGAAGCTCTTCTGCATTAAGCCCAGCTCTTCCCAGGCAGCTTCAGCTGCTCCATTTCTCTGACCTTTCTTCCTTTCTCTCTCGCCCGATGCAGATTTCCTGCTGCTGAATGACAGTCTGTACGTGCAAGCCACATACATCGCCGGCGAGGAAGTCTGGAGGCAGGAAACGTTAGGGATGTGACGCTGGGCTGTCCTGGTGCACTCCAAGGCTCCCTGGCACTGTGGTTAGCAGCTCTGGTAACCACTCCACTTCTCTATTTTTTTTCCCTTTTTTGTTGTTCTTTTTTTTCTTTTTTCCTTCCTGCAACTCCCTTAAAGGAGCCTCATACCAAAGAGCTGCGTTTTCCGGCGCAACCGCTGCTTCCAGTTACAGCCATGCCTGCAACAAATTTGTTGGTGCTCAGTTGGTGCAGTGGGGAGCACAGGCAATTCCGTGCTGCGGTGGTGCCGCAGACGGCCAGTCCCTGGCGTGCCCTGACGGACTGCACGGCTGTCCTGCACGGTGTCCCCAGACGGGTGCTCCTGTTACCATCTTACAGCGGTGTGAAGCTGTCCCGGACTTTGCACTGTTTTATGCAGCACACGCTAACATGCCCCATGCCCAGGGCAGGCTCAAGCCATTTCCATTCCTCTGCCTGCCATTTGCCTCCCTCCCAGGCAGCTGTGGCTGGTTAGACATCAGCTTACACCAGCTCAGCTCACAGCTCTTCACGTCGAAAGGTTCCTGTGGCGTCAGCAGAAGTTGAGGTTTGCGTTCTGATCTGCCGGCTGTGCCTCTGCCATGTGTCCATGGAGCAGGGCTGGCCACAGCTTGCCGACTCGGTGCCATTGTGCAGCTGTGAAGCCACGTGGGCTGAATCCTCAGGGCAGAGATCAAACCCAGGAAAAATGAGGCATTGCTGGTCCTTTGTGCCTTTTCCCTGCGTGGGCATCAAGTCCCCAGCACGAGGTTTCGTGGTTTCGGCTGGAGCCATGACAGCCCTGCCACAGAAAGCAACACTCTTTTTAACCGTTTGTTCTGGTGAGGTGGGTGCTGCAGGCTCTGTGCCCAGCCACACCTGCCTTGTCTGGTGGGTTTTTGCGTTCCTCCAGCCACAGATGGAAAGCTTTTGCTTTGAGGGATGTATCCAGACCAGTGGTGACAGGCTCATGAGCCCTTGGTCCAGCTCAGGGACTGAGGGAGAGGAGAACTCCAGCGGGATTCTGGCCTTTTGACAGTTGCTGATAGCTCATTATTCCTATGCTCGTTATTATCTTCTCCAATACTGACTGTCAGCTCTTTTCTTGACACTTGGGACACTTCTATGTGAAGACTAATGCCGGTTTCGAGCCTACCACAGTCAGAAAATCCTTGCAATAAGTCTTAGCCTCTGATAAGCCTCAAACCAATTAGGTGGATTTCGCAGCAAGGGGAGGGCTTAGTCAAGGGGAGAGGCAAGGCAAAAGTCTGATTGGGATTGGCAGGAGTGTGCTGATTTTTCCAGTACCTTTTTATAACCTTTAACAGCAACATTTGGAAGTGCTTCCCTAGCACTTTAGAGCCCTGCTGGAATAACTGGCAGTCTTGGAGAGTTTCTGACATCAACTGCCAGTGTCAGCAGAAACTATAACCTCCGCGATGGGAAGCATTTGAAAGAGACATCAAACACCGCGCTGTGAAATGTTGACGTGCCACAGCATTACAAATCTCAGCGGGGGTGCTTTTGACTGCCAATTGAAAACAATCCAAGGGGAAAAAAAAACAAACAAAAACCCCACAAACACGTATGGAACAAGGTGTCTTAACATTTTTGTGGTTTTTTATTTACAGAATTAAACGACTGAAAGGAAATCTAAAGTGGGAATGGAGTTAAGCGATGCCTGTGTGTGTGTGTGACTCTTTTTGGTTTTGTGGGGTGGTGTGGAGCTGGGGGGCGAGCTGCTCGCCACGCTGTGGCCCCCGGGCCTCGGTGTCTCGGTGGGGACATGGCTGCTGGGGGACATGGCTGCTGGGGACATGGCTGATGGGGACAAGGCTGACAGGGATGTGGCTGATGGGGACAAGGCTGCTGGGGATGTGGCTGCTGGGGTGTGTGACTCTTTTTGGTTTTGTGGGGTGGTGTGGAGCTGGGGGGCGAGCTGCTCGCCACGCTGTGGCCCCCGGGCCTCGGTGTCTCGGTGGGGACATGGCTGCTGGGGGACATGGCTGCTGGGGACATGGCTGATGGGGACAAGGCTGACAGGGATGTGGCTGATGGGGACAAGGCTGCTGGGGATGTGGCTGCTGGGG